GATTTAAAGAATAGAGACTTGAGGAGCTAACAGTTCAACCAAGTATATTAGAAATACTATCTGTCAAAGTCTACTATTCCATTGAGGGAATCACTAGTCTTTAAATACATAATACTGTCCATGTTTTATATATCCTGTTTCCCATATGTTTTTCAATCAAGGAGATACTTCAAACAACTAGAGTATTAAAAGGATACTTGAAACTACAAGTAAAACAAATTGAACATCAATGGATACTTGAAACCACAAGTGAAATAAAACATAAAACAAATCCCTAAACTGGATTCTAACTCCAGTTACACTAGCCCTTTTGCTAAGTCAATAGAGATCTGAATAGTATTAGAGGATAGAAGGACCTACTCTACTATTTTCAATAATCTAACCACTTATAGTGCTGTAGAAAGTTGCATAGAGGATTATTATATTATTAAAAAATCAAGTTATGCCTCTAAAGATATTAGCTAAGATACAAATATTCCTATTTACATGAAGCTTTAGCTCTTATATCTGGAGTTCTTTATAGTAGCTCATGAAGGTTAGTTTTTAATATAATTTAACTAATAATAGTAGTAGTATGGTGTTGTAGTACAAGGTAGATAGAATTATGGTAGCCAGAAAGAAGTATGAGGTAGAAAGTTCTTAAAATAAGAGAAACAGACTTGTATGATAGGAAACTAATGCACCCTAATTTTCTTCATACCTACAATTGGTGGGTGCTATAAAGGTTTTAGTAATTCAAGGTAGTAGCTAGCAAATAAGAAACCATAGGGTTTTAACAGGTGATTTGACTAGCTTAGAGCATATACTAGTAAGTTGGTTTATAGAAGGAGTTAGAGGAGAGAATGTTATATCAAAAAAAAAACTAGGAGTTTTTAGGTACTAGTAGTTCAACTACAGTCTTCTCAAACTTGAACTTAGTAGGAAGACTATAAAAGAGCAAGTTTCTAAATCTAAAGGTATTAAGAAAGCATTGAGAAATAATTGAACTAAAGTATATGAAAAAGTTATTATAGCTAGTACATATGTGTATAAAAAGCTAACTAAGAGGGAAAAGAAAATAGTTGTTTTTTTAAAAATTGCAATGTTTGCTAGAAATTAGTATTTATAGTAGTAAAGCAATTATATATTATTGGAAGTATGAGGTGCTGTACAAGTCCTAGTCCTACAACATCTACTGTACCAGCAAGAATGTGCTTTCTACCAGCTAGAGCTATATTTAGAGAAGGCTAGAACTATGCCAAAAAGACACTAGAGAGTGACAAAGTCTATTAGAGAATAGACTATTGTATGAGAATGGTAGAGAATTCTATCTTCAAAGTAGTTAGAGAGAAATATAGGTTAGCCTTACTTAAGGCAAATGCCTAGCTGAAGCTCTAGGCCACAGGTTGGTAACAGCAAGGAGGAATTATTTCTTCTGAGGCAATGATAGTATGCATAAAATATTGGCAGGATAATTACCTGGGCCATTACCTACCAGTAAGGTAGCACTGGCAGGGCTAGTACCACTACTATGACCAGCTGCAGGAGAACCAGGAAATACACTACTACCACTACAATTACTAGTAAGTTGGGAGTGAAGAGTCAGTAGGCCATTAATTATACAGTCAGTTATAGTAAACTGAGGGTTAGTACCATTACCATGAGGTCTTATAGAAGGGTGTCTGTGGCATAAAGGCTTGCTGGCGGGCAGGATAGGTTGGAGCTTAATATCCTTGTTAATACAATATTCCTTTGAAATTATCTGAACAAAGTTTAGTATCTTAACCAATACTTACCATAAATGAGTGACCAACTGTCTTCATTAGAAAGCTGTTTTTTCGTCCTAGGAGTAGTTTAGGACTCTTCTCTGAGTTACTCAGTAGGCGGATTCTAGGAGATAAGTATTACTATAGATGTGCCAGTGGGCTATAGACAGTTCAGCCAATTGTAAGGTACTATAAGGGGAGTCACTTGTACCCTCTTGTTGGACTTCTTTATCTACTTCTCTTGTTTCTCTCTTTGCTCACCTTTTTCATCCCCCTCTTTAACTCTACCTGCTATCACCCTCCTGCTTCACCTATCCTGCAACCTTGTTCTTCCTCTATAGCTCTCTTGTTTTATTTTTGAGTACCTCCATGTATCCACTCTGTCCAACCTTGGTTTTAGATAGGATAGATGCTGGTTCCTAGAAGTTTGTCCTAGATAGATGCTGGTACTATGGTCTCTCATAACCTCTGCTCAGGACTGCTGGCCAGACCCTGTAGATATCTCATTGGTAAACAGATCTGGAGATGAGAGTTGGATGCTAGAGATAATGGCAGGGTCTTGCAGCTGGCAGCTGAGCTCTGCAGATTACTGTCAGGTCCTGGTAAGAACTGCCAGAAGATTTAATTTGGATTAAGACACCTAGGTCTAGATATTAACCTCTTGAACAGTAGTTTTTATTAAGGATAGATGCCATGTTCTACCACCCTTATCCACTATACCCAGAACTATTAGAAACACTGCAGTTTGCTGAGTTTTATTTCAAAGTTATTGGCACTGCTGGCATGCTCAACCTGTTATATCTGTAGTTCTTTTCTCTGAGCTAGAAAAGCAAATATTGTAGTTGTAGGCCTTCAAGTTGCTGTACTTGAACTGTCACCTATTTTGTATACTGATTAGTTATTTCACTTTTACAGTCCAGGAATGGCTGCATTCAGTTAAACCAATAGAAGTAAGAAAGAGAGGTAAGTGGGTTGAACAACAGTAGAGCTAGTTTTAAGGATTCCTGTATTGGTTTTCCTGCTCATGTATCTGTCTATACAAGTGTCCATAGTAATAGACATGTCTCACAAGCCTTACCTCCCATCTGGCTATTTGCTATTAGTGATTGACTCATGCAGGAACCTGTTACTCTCCTCTCTGGAACAGGTTTTCAAATCTTTTAGTAATAGTTGATAGCAATACTTTTCTGTAGGTAACTGAATATGCAGAGAAACACTGACTGAATGGAAATACTGGGAGGGTGGAGGATACTGAGGTGGCATTGTAGAAATGCACTAGTGAGAGAAATGGCAGAAAACCCTTGAGGAGTAGAGATGGATTGTGGACAATCTATCTCCAGAAAGAAATAAAGGAAAGCAAAACTAAAAATACCTTGTGGTAGTTCCTTATACCAAGGGCTAACCACCATATGAAACATAGAAATTACAGTCTAGCTAGACAGGAGGACAAACCCACTCCAGTCAGCATACCCTAATACCATATGATATGATAGAATTACTCTATAAATAGTAAGTCCACTATTTGAAATTTAACTAGATATATATGAGCCTGTATAAGTTAAAACCTGATTATCAGACTTCAACTACCAAACATTTATTTTTGCTTAACTACTTTCCTAGTTATGTAAAGTAGGTATATAGTAGCTCAGAAAATATTCTACAACTTCAGATGACCTCTGTAGCATGTTTTGTGTTCAAAAAACAGAAAGTTTCGTAGATATACAACACATTTTCATGCACTTTTCAAAAAAGCCCAATAATCAGATTTTAACTTATACAGCCTCATATAATGTAAAGTATGATATAACAATTGTAGACTAAAGTTATTATATCCTGTAACACCTCTAAATTATCAGGGCTAAGGATTACAAATTCTAAAAATAGATTTTATAGGTTTTATATTTAATTTATACTACTGTTTAAGATTTTCTAATATTTTCTCCAGTATTAGTAGTATTAGTCAAGCAAAAATTTGTTTCTAGAATTAAAAAATAATAATAACATGATATTATCTTTTTACATATAATACAAGGATACAGATTCTATGTGCAAAATCAAAGGATTAAATTTAAAACCAGTATGATAAAAGAAAAGTCATCTAGAACAATGGATTGAACCTCTGCACTATATGAAAAAAGAATTATGTTTACGAACCCTCAACCCTGATAACTTGGAGGCGTTACAGGATGCAACAGCCTTGGTCTACATTTGTTATGCTTTGCATTATACTTTGAGCCCTGTGGATACTGTACTGTACCTGTACTGTGTCTGTAAATTTAGTAAACCTAACCCCTCAAAAATAAGGAAAGATCCCCGCGATGTCATCCATCACCAAACTCAACTCGCTGCTACCAGCAGTATAGGTTTGATAGTATACAGTTCTTGCACTACAGTATCTGATCTCTTAGGAATGAGTTCAAAAGAACAATATTAGGGACTTTATTTAATTCTCAGCTATTCGCAACCACAACGCATTTCTGCGCTAAGTCAGCTGATTACCTACTGGTGCACAGTAAAGTGCTGTATCCTATAGTCTAGGTAGCAACACGTCCGGTGGAAGTGTCAAATATCGAGGGAAGGAAAACTACACCAGACCTATCGCGCTTCCCCTACCCCTCTCCCTCTTGGCTCTGGTGAGTTCGGCGATGGGTACCCACGAGCGATGTAGAGTATGCGAAATTTTAGATTGGGAATGGAGGGAGGGAGGGAAGGGGAAGGCGGTGAAAAGGTGAAAAGGGAATAAACGGGCGGAAGAAACAAGACATGATGTATTGTGGGACTGGCATTGGTAAACGGAGCATCCTGTCGTGTGGTGGGTGGATGGGAGATCCCGCCTCTTCCTTTACTTGACCGGGCATCCACCTGTTTGCCTTCCGTGGATATATGGGGTCTACTGGGTTGGAATGGACCAGGGGGCAGTGGGAAGCCAAGTCGAGCCCGCTCATAAGGACACTTGACTCCTCCTTCCCGCATGAGGAGCTCTTATGTCTGTTTGGTGCCTGTATATTCTAGTTGGGGGTGGGGGAAAGAGCGTTTATACCCAGTAGTAATCCCCATATCTTTTCCCTCCCTCCCTCCCTCCCTCCATCTCTTTTTTACCCTCTGCTCCCTACACATCACACTCTTTTAACTCCTAGTAGTGTTTTTTCTTTCTGTCCGGGTGGACAGATGTTCGTCTTTGGCTTTTCTTCCTTTTCATTTACTCTGACTTAAGGGGACTGGTTCCAAGAGGAAAGCAAATTTGAAGTGGAAAGAATGTGGTTCTTGTCCGCGGCCGAAACGGCCGGGATAGTCATTTGGATTTGCTCAACGGCTACCAACGGCCTTACTCCTGGGCCTGAAGTGAGTGGTGAGGATGGTGTTTTTGTTGAGTCTGCCCTAATATTACCGTTCGAAAAGAGGACCGCACAGGAACAAGGCCCGTGTACCTACTTTACACAGAACTAGGGATGTGAGTGCCTCCTTCTCTTCCTTCTCCGCCATCGGGTTTAATCTAACTATACTAAAGAGTTTGATGTAAATAGGTATAACGGGCAAGGATTGGCAAAAATGTATACTGGCGGTTCCCTCCAAAGAGCCATTCGCCCGCCAAACAATCGATGCTCTCCGAGTGATTTTCAATCTCCCGTCCTCAACGGGATATCATGAAAGCCCACCACCGGAATTAGAACTCCCGGCGCTTAACCTCAATGCTACGTTTGACAAGATGGAGGCAAAGGTCAATACCGAGGTGTACCAGAATCACTGGTCATTCAAGCCCGATCTCATGGTACTCTTCAACAGATATCGCGACGGGCACACATCGCTCAACACAATGTGTATGCATGGATACTACTGGATTCATGCTTACCTCGTCGTTCTCTTTGAGTAGGAGGTCAAGGGTCGAAAGGTATGGGAGGCTTGGAGTGTTGAGAAAGACCGGAACGTGAAGAGCTGGGAAGGGGCCAAATTGGGGGACGAGGTCGTCATGATCAACGACCAGCCAGCCTTGGAGTGGTTCGCTCAATACACACAGACATCCATGGAGTCGGGCGCAAATGTTGACCCGGACTCGAGGATGAGGCAGGTGGAGTTCACGGTTCCAACCGGCCTGTCCCGTGGGATGTTTGCCGTGGGATGTTTGCGAAAAGACAAATGTGGAATGGAGAGGAGTTGTCCATTCAGTGGGAGAATGGGAGGAGGCGGAGTGTTCCTTGGACGGTCCAGTTTACGAGCCAGATGGTTACAGACGGGGAGTTTAGGTTCAATAGCGTGAAAATCCTGGAAAAGCTTTGTTTTCTCAACCAGACTGAGATGGAGAAGATGATTGGGCCGCCACCCTCTGAGACCCGGAAAAGATCCAAGGTAACGAGGTTGGGAGAGAGTTTGATAAATAGATCCTCGTCCGCGTTTGAGGGATCAGCAGGTATCCAGAAGAGACAGGAACCAGCCGTGGTAGAAAGACCTAGCGGTTATCCACTGGCAAGGGCCAGTGGTCCAGAATTCGCCGTGGAGTCGTTTATCCTGCGAGGTGATCCTGAGACAGCAAGTATTCGTTTCGGTACGTTCAGGGAACAGGACCGGAACATGTTCAAAGAGTTCAGCAAAGGTTTCCAAAACTTTATTACAAAAGAGCTGGTTTCGCTCAAGAAGGACGGTGTTAAACGGCTCGTGATCGACGTATCCCACAACAGCGGAGGACAGGCTGTCCTTCCATACGATGTCCTGAGCCAGCTGTTCCCCGAAAGGCAGAAATTAGCAGCATGAACATCCGCTGGTCACCAACTACCTGGGCACTAGTTCAGAACTTTGACAACGGGAGATATATGGAATATTACAAGGATGAGAACATGCAAGACTTCAAGAGTAAGGACCAGTGTTTGGGCCCCATATTTCGCGATGGAGGATGGTACTCTCCGAAGTGGAAACAGGACTTTGAACAGTATGCCCAAGAGTCATCTAGTATTGACCCGAAGCATACTGGCTCTCAGCCGTTTGAAACAGAAAACATCATTGTGGTGAGCGCTTGCCTAGCCAAGTATGGGAAGGGACCCCGCTAAAAGTCCATAGATAAGCAACGGGATTTGCGCCTCCCCCTGTGCATCCTTCGTGGAAGGCCTTCAAGAACACGGTGTCCGAGCCGTCGCATACGGCGGCCGTCCAAACTCCAAAACCCCAATGCAAGCCGTTGGCGGCACCAAGGGTGGGGAAATGATAGACATAGAGCAGATATACCAGTCCCTCGCGAAAGCAGTAATTGACAAGCGCTACACCGACTCACCACCCTCAGCCTGGATGCCCCCAGCGATGCTCCTCCGAGTCCTCAAGGGGTCCCTAAACCTTGAAAACAAGTTCCGCGACGGAATCGGCACACCACCGCAGTATCTTTACACCCCGCCGTGTCGCATGCTCGGCTTCAACAAGGATATGTTTGTGGACATCATGGTGCTCTGGGAGGAGGCGAGGGCACCCATGTGGGACTAGGATGGGAAACCGATCAAGTGGGTCGATTACAGGGCGCAGATTAGGCAGATCCGGGCTGGCCTAACAGCGACAAGGTCAACCTCAAGCAAATGCTCAATATTCGTACATGGTGTACAGGGAGAGGAGGCAAAGTTATTCAAGTAATAACAAAAACATATAAATACCCTTCGCTTCCCCCCTCCCCCCCATCTTCTTCGCTCCTCTTTATCTATAGTCTCCTGGGCCGCCGAAAACCCCGCAAGAAAAGAAAAAAAGAAACAAAAGCCCCTGCGACATGAAGCGCAAACTCTCCCTAAACCCTCTATCTCTATTAACCTACAGGTAAAGTCATTATTTCATTTCTTCTACGATGTCATCGTTTCTCCCATTCCGTTATGATACCTCCCTCCTCCCATCCCCCAACCTACCCCCAACCTGACCCAAACACCGGCATCTGGAGCTATAACTGTTTAACCTTACTGCAACCCCTGCCTCCCTTCCCTGCCTTCACATTCGATGCAGCAGTAAAATAGAATCGTAATCCCTTTTATTATCTATCCACCCGAAGGCCTAGCAGATTCTGGGTCCCTTTTTTGTTTCCCGTGTGTAGGAGCGGTGATTTGTAGCTCACCGGTGTGCGAGCGCCAGTCCGGTGTACGAAGTGTGAGTATGTCGTCGAGTGACAGAGGATGATCGCATCGTCGGGGGTGTGCGGAGGTAGGAATGGGAGGGAAAGGAGAACGAATGGATCAGACGGTTTTTCCCCTTTTTTCCTTTCTTTCTATATTATTCTTGCATCCTCATCTCTCTTTCCCTCCTTCCATGCCCCCCCCGGGGATATCGTGAGCGTGTTGCCATCTCCAGAGAGCTATAGCATATCCCCGATATCGCAATCTAGCCACCACAGATACAAGACGCCCACAAACACCCAGGCACGAAACCAAAATACCCTGCCTACCCGATAGAAAAACATCCCGGAAACACCCAAGTCGTCGACCTGCCACACCCGCGCCGAACCAAGCACCCACACGGCTGCTTCGGGTCCTTACTGGAATGAGGAAAACATGATTGCACCCCCACGACCGAGACTCCACGTAGACTGCGGTGAAGAGCAGGTATACCAGCAGATAGATCTTGTCATTTTTTCCGGGACGTTTGTATGAGTGGAGAATATGCTAGCAGGGAATAATCCGCTGGGGGCAGTAACGATGCTCGGGAGCGGTACATTTATAGACCCCGACAGGGCCACGATTTCACAACTCATATTATCCAGAAACTTGAAAATGACCAGCGCGGTGCTCAAAAAATAGACCGATAGAGAAAAAAAAAGAAGGGGGAATAAAAACAGGAATATAACGTGCCGCACGGGGATCCCGCTCAGGACGCAGATCCCGCTCGGTCCCTACATAGCATAATCCCGTGTCTTACATACATTAGCCCAATAACTGTAAAATCCTTGAAGACCTCTGAATACTTTGATGTACATTTTTGCCATCAATTCTAACAAACTCTCCTGTATTGTCCACCTCTATGTCCCCATTATCTGTTGTATTAATGCCATGGAGAGTCTGAGCAGACACTTTGTAGACACTACCATCACTATCCTCACCATCCTCCCAATCAGTAGACTCTGCCCTGGAGCTTATAGTACAAGTGGTCTTTGGGAAGGTAATCCAAACCCTCCTTTTACTCTTTGGAATTGCTTTAGGTAGCTTGACTGAATTGGCATTTAGTGACAAGGAATCTAAGGCTTTAGTAAGCTTGCGTGCCTGTCAGGCTGCTTTTTGTGCATCCCGCCACTCCTGATTCTCTTGAAGATGCAATATAGTTTCGGTAGTCACAACAGTAGCCTCAGTAAGCTTTCAGTAATCAGAGGTTTTAATCTGCTGACTCTTACTAACCAGCTCACGATACTGCTGATAGCTTGCCTCCTTGAGAGTCTTATCTGCAATCGCTTGCTGAAGCCCCTCTGAGAGACCAGACAAAGCTCCTTCACCTTTTTTGAATTGAAAGTATTTCTTGAAACTAAAGCAATAGCAGATCTGGTATGGCGACTAATACTGCGTAGTATTTTAGGGATTTGACTAAGAGTAGTGGATATGTGGAATGATCTATGATGTGAGACTGGTACATGATCACCCTGCATCTCAGGTTTCTGAACCCATCTTGGATTTAATAGAATAGTACCTACTACTTCCCAAGCACTTAAGATGTTTCTTTTAGTAAACACAAGCCAGTGGACTAGTATTAGCACTCTATATTCAATATAGTTAATAAAAGATTGAGTAAAAATAAGCATTGATCCTTACAGTAGAAAGTCACCCTTAGTAAAGCATGGGCCATAGTTCCCCAATGTACCCACTCATCAAGTCCATTTGAGTAAAAGCATTAGAGAGGGGAGAACAGGCCAACATCTAAGAGCTGGAGAAGATGGATCAAGTACCTAGGCAGGCAGAGTGGAATAATTTTGTTTGATAAGTAGTAGCCAAAAAACTGCCAATTAAAGTAAGAAGCATGCCCATCTAACAGCAGGAGGTGAAACTCATTCCTGGCTCTACCTTGTACATAATTTCATATTAGTACTACTACTTTAGAAATAAAATGTTTACTACTTTGGGCCAGCAATAGGATAGATATTTCTTACCTTTCTCTTGTCTCTATATCAAAAGTTTCATTTAACCATATTAGACCCATCTTCTCTCTATTCTATCTTTTTCAGAGATTCTAAAGCTGGCCAGGTCCTTTTTTTTTAATACAGCATACCAGCCCATATAATGGGTAGTACCTTTATTGATTATCATTGGCCTTAGTATCTCTCCATCTCCACTCACAGTTTCAACTACTATAATCTACTCACGAATACTATTCTGGGTTAATATCATTGACAGTCTCCCAGATTTACAAATTACTTTATACCGGAGAGCCACTCCCATTATGAATCCCTTTTTGTCCATGTTGTACATGTTACGGAACTTAATATCATAGGCTTCAAGAGTTTTCTTTAACTGTTTTAATATTTAGGTTAGCAGAATGTTGAGACATTATATTAGATAGAGCTACCTTTTGAAAATAGTCTTTAATTACTTGAGAACCATCAGCACATGCATGCTGGGAGTCCAAACGATGTCACAAACCATGACTAAGCAAGGCAGATTGTATATAGCTTAGAATTCTAAGCTAGAGGTATGTTAGGATTTCATATAACGTATACTAGTATGCCATAGGTTTTTATATTTACTTGTTTATGACTCACAGTTGTGAGTTATACAATGTAATGATTTTCACACATGACTTGAGTTATAAGCCATGGGTTTCACTCAGGTGACACAAGTTGCACACCTGACTTGGTTATTGAGTTTTAATTGATTTAAGATATGTTATGCAGTAACTCAGAGAAGTCAGCTGATAGATTTCACATGACTCATAGTTATGAGTCACAAGGTTTGCATGGCAAGGGGTATGAGTCATACTGGGTGAAGAGTGACTATATAAAGGGTCACTAGGACCTGAGTATGAGCTCTTCATACATTCTTCTAAGTTATTTCCTATACTTATTATTTTATATGAATAAAACCTACCTTATGCCCTTTAAGATTTATCTTAAGAAATCTGAGAAACTGTCTTTCTTCCCACATCGAACCATCAAGTCCTGAGTAAAGACTTGAGAAGAATAAGGCGATAGGCAGGAACAGATAGAAGTCAAAGGACTTGACTATCTACCTCATGTAGGCAACAGCCTACATCTTACCTTAATGTACAATAAGAATTGTTACATATCGCACCCCCACACCCGATAGGATTCTTAACAAACAACTACTTAGTTTTGAAGCAAGCATAGGATTCCGATTAAGAAACCTAATAAGCCAGTGTTTTCCTAAGGTTTAGTTATTTCCTTACTTTCATCTAAGTGCCTGAGCTATTAATTTTATAAACTCCAAATGGGCTGGATGCCCCCCCACTCATCCATTATCTCACACTACCAAACCATAGAGTTTTCTTCAAGCTCTATTAATACCTGCATTGCTGTAACGATCGCTCTTTGTATTGGTTCATTGGCAGGGAACAAACTGTGTGTTGTAGGTCGTCACGTCGTAATAGCTCTTAACCTCCTTTGAGGTTACGTACTTGAACACCCAAGTACGCCTATTAAGACATATGAGATAGAGAAGTTCACGTAATGTGGTTGCATAGTAGAAGAGTGTAATGTAGAGAATCTAGTAGTGACCGTCACTTAGATGAATGCGTGAGGAACTAACTAACTAGCTAGGTCCCTCTCCTTTATATAGTCCTCCCTTGAGAACCCCTAACCCTGGTGACTCATAACTATGAGTCACACATTACTTCTGACTCACAACCATGAGTCATGTAAAATACATCTTCTGACTGCTATGAGTCGTACCTAAATCAAACGCAATCAAACTATAAGATTAGGTGCGCAACTCGTATCACCTGAGCAAAACCTCTGACTCATGATTTGAGTCAGGTGCGAAACCCATAACATCGTGTGACTCACAACTGTGAGTTATCAAGCGCAAACATACTAACTAAACATAAACAACCATAACTCCTTAAACAAGTTAGGTGTGAAAACAACTTTACATGCATAACATAAATAGGAACTCTTTAACAATTTTACTTATCTTAATCCTCGCTAAGTCGAGTTTGTGATATTAGCTCCTCTCTCCCCAAGACCGAGTCCCATCGGTCTTACTCTTCCGTCCATATATTTCCTTTTGACTGGTTCTGCCAGCCGAGCTCTTGCACCTGTTCCTCGAGGGCCTTTATCCTCGCTCTTAGCTTTCGTACCATTCGTTGGTACTCTTCCTCATCCACCTCTTGGTTCCAGTGGATTGATTTCTTCGAATCAGAGTCTGAGTTGTTTGGGCTGGTTAGGGGAGTTGGTGGAGGGTTCCTCCTCTTTGCGCCTACCAGCGCCTCTCTCTTTTGTCTCCTGTGGTATGCACAATAGCTGCGCATACACACCTTCCATGCCACCTTCTCATGGCATCTCTGCTTTAGGA